ATTTGGTTTGATACCCTAATCCCAGAACAATGGATGCCAACTTGCCCTACATTTGCATAAATTTGGGGGCCACTGCAGTGATCTGGGACTAAACAAAGATCAGCAGTGAAACAGCTACAAAAGGTTCCATGACTTCAAAATAAAGTCTAACCTTCTTTAACATGGCCCTCCTGGTGTCCCTAACCTGGCTTCTACCCTCTCCACTGTCTTTAGGTTACCTCTCCCCTCCCCATGTTATTTCACACCTCAGGGCCTTAGGTGTTCACCCTATGGGGAGGTCCCTCCCCTTCCAGTTATCTGTGGGCACTCCCACCATCGTGCTGCCGTTTAAGATTCAGCTTAAACATCCTTTGCTCCAGCAGCCCTCCTTTCCCTGACCTTTGCTCTCCCTTCTGCAAATCCCATTTTTTAGAGCAGTTACCCCCATTGGTCTCATGTGTTCTTTTACACACCTGTCTCCCCACCTGACCAAATCCATAGAGGGCAGGAGCCTGGGTTCACTCACCTGTGTCCCCATTACCTCATGGAGTACCCGGCACTTTAAACACAGATTGGAGGAATGAGTATCTGATACAAAAAATTATGACCTTGACCATTGGCTTTCACACGCCAGAAATCCATTTGTGAAGAACTGGCAATTTTATTTTAAGAAATTAAGCTGAGATTTGGTATTTAAGAGAAGGAAAAAAACGCTCTGCTTATTTTAATTTTTAAAATGACCACATATTTGTGAAATACAGTTGAAAAGAATAAGTTTTACTCCGCTATGGACCTAGCTGAGGCTGCTAAGGAGTTCTAGAACCAGAGAAAGGCTAAAGCGACCCGCACCAGCAGAGCTCTCCTCTTAAAGTGGGAGGGGACGAATGTTTGCTGCCTCGGAAGGGAAGGAACCAGCTCCTCTGAATGAAACAGCACTTTCCACAGAGGCAGCGGCCTATGGTGGGAGAGCGAGCAGTAGTGGAAAGACCTTATGCATAATCCATTCTTAAATGGATCGAGGCCGGTACAGTTGTAAACTGAAACTCCAGAGGCAAAGCCTGAGCGGTTACATTTTCTGGAAAAGAATGTTTCCCAGCCCCGCCAATTATTTCCTGCTTTCTGTCCCTCCCCAGGGCGCGCACACCCCCAACTTTTGGCGGACCGCTGTATTGACATTGAGCCTCTCTCCTACCTGAAGTAGAGCACCTCGGGAAGCAGCGAGGTTGGCGTTTCATTCATAATACATGAACTCAGGGGAGGAGGGAGGCGGGGGCAAGGGCCTTTCATCTCTGCTATTTAAAATCCCGGCACTGCAGCTGAAAGGGAAAATGACCTGGGAGTGAACGGCATGGGGATGAAGTATTGCACGATAACGGTACAACCGAGCGCGTCAGCGGCCCGCCCGCCGGCTATTTATACCGCGCAGATTATGCAATCGGGCTGCAGCCATTCATACCCCGACTGGGACGCCGCACGCCGGCGGGGGGGCCTCATTCCCGGGCGCCGGGTCAGTTTCTAAGTTTGCATCATCCCCTTCATTACGAGAGAGCTTGGGTTTCCATTCCTGCCAGCGGGTCTTGGGGGAGACAGCTGGGCTACAAACTCACTTGGCACACACGGCCGCTTATTTAAACATAATAATAAAGGCACCGGAGCTCCCAAAGCGCGGCCAAGCAGCGCGCAGGGCTGGGCTCGGGGCAGACCGGAAGGAACTGATAAACCGAGCGCTAATGATACCCCCTCCCTCCAGCGTCGGAAGTGTCCTCGGAGCGCCGGTCATTGAGAAATACCGAAGGGGCAGAGTGGGGGTGAGCCGAGGACAAGCCCCCGCGCAGCTGCGCGCGCCTCCCAGTATGGGGGGCGGGGGCACCGCGGCCATTGGGGGGTCCTCGGGGCCGGCCAAGGCCGGGCCGCACAAACCTAAGGGCACCGCAGTCCTTCCCAGATCACCCCCCTCCCCGCTTCTGGTGGGGGAGGGTGAGTGATTTATCAGATCCCACCCCCACCCCTGAGGAAATCTACACTCCCGGCCCTGCCGGACCCGCGCGGACGCGAGGGGCCGAAGGACGCGAACGAGAGAGCGGATTGCAGAGGAGACTAAAATGTCCGCTTCTCCTGGCGCCCTAGTCGGGCGGGAGGGGGTGGGGGCCGCGGCCGCCTTCCCAGTGAAACAGGACCTGCTGGTCTACTGAGCATGCCCGTCCCGCAGCAGCGGAGGGTCGCTCCGGTTCCGCGCTCCGGGCTTTCCGGGCGGCCGGCGGGAGGGACACGGGTGGGGGTGCTCCCCCGCCCGGGACTCGGAATTGAGAGGCCGGTAGGTGGGGGTCCTGCTGGGGGCTCCGCTGGGTTTGCTGAAGTTGTAAGCAGATCGATATTACTTTTGAAGCTTTACGATCTTACTCAGAGTCAACACTATTGATTTGATTTGATCGTGTTCAGAGCTGCCTGCCAACTGTTCTGTTGGTTGTGGGGAGAGACAGGGATGTGGATCCTTAGCTCTTTCAGCAATGTCATTAAAGCGCTAAATCCGTGGTACCTATTCCAGCAACAATACAGTGGATTTTGATAACACCCTGATATTCAGATCAAAAACATATCTGTTACTCACCCAATATCCTCGCTTATTCTATGGAGATGCAGGAGTCAGATGTCTCAACCAGTTAGTAAATGACGGGGAGGACCAAGAGGTGACCTGCCAGTAATGTTTCCATAAAAAGGCCCCTTTTGTGTGATGAACAAGGCAGAAGAGGAACACGAAGGACAAGGAGTAGAGGGTAGCATTTGGTATTCCAACTGGCTAGAGAGAGAAAAGGGCTACCAGGAATCTCATATTTGCAGCGCGCTTAACAGAGTACCTTCACTGTATAGCCCATTTAATCTTCCCAGCAACCCTGTCTGACGCAACACTGAACCCATGGCTCAGAGAACCAAAGTACCTACCTGAGATGGCCCAGCTGGAGTCTGGCACCAGCAGATCCCAGTGGGGACTCTGTGACCCCTGGACCCTTGAATGTTTACCATTGTTCCCCCAGGCTGCCTGGCCCACAGGCTTGGCCAGTCCCAGTCATTCACTGCTATAGCAGAGAGCTGGCTGAGTGAGTGGTGTTGACACCAGTTCAGCCTGCTCATAGAGCTTGCCTACCTGCAGAAGTTAATAATCACCTCACCTGCCACCTTGCTATTTGGGCATTCTGAAATTGGAGGGTGGAGCCAAAGAGATGCCCATTAGGTGGATAATTTCCACAGGGATAAATGCCTGTGTTAGGGAAGTTCAGGAAGTACTAAGAGTGGATCTCTTTCAGCACCTCCAGGGAGAAGAGCAACAATGGCCAAAGGTGAAAACTGGGTAGATACCTTAGCTTTATGGGGATTTAGAGAACAATGAGATCTTGCGTTTGTTTAGGACTTTCTCACAGACTCTCAATGGCCTCAGAAACTAAGAAAGACAAACTTGGCCTTGTTATTCCTGTTTTATAAAGAAACCGAAGAACTGCTAGAAAGCCTCACTCAGGTTCTCAGGGCTGCTAGACCCTGTGTGGTGCCCTTCTCACCACCACACATCAGCAGCACCCAGGATCAAAGGGGGGCGAACCCCAATCCATCTCCCCAGTGATCATGCTTGTGATAAGCATGAAGCCTAGGGTAAACCACCAGTTTCTGCCTGACTCAAGGTGAAACTTGTACCATTTTTGGAACATTTGTGACTCCCTATATGCATATACCTTTTATGTATGCTATATTTGAGGCAAAAATTTAATCTTAATTTGTTCAATGGCTGCTGTTTAGTTAAAATCTCTGGGTTGTCTCTTGGCACCTTCAGGAGAATGGAAAAGTCTATTATGCTTGGAGAGCAGGAAGGGGCAGGGACTATGTCCCTTGCTTTCTACGGGACCCCAGAAGGAAATACCCAATAGCTACATAATTTGTGGGAGCTAGTGCAAAGTGAAAATGCAGAGTCCCTTGTTTAAAAATTATAAACAGTTTCAAGGCTGCAACAGCATAGCATGAAACCAAATGCAGATTGCTATGCAATTGCACAGGTTGCATGCTCAGGAAGCTAGTCTTGCCTATTGCCCAGACAGTGCTGCTTTGGAGAGCATGGGTCCACCCAGGAAAAATAATTTAAATAAAAGGGGGGAGTGAGCTCCCCATGTCCCTGTGCCAAAACCCGTGGGGCTGGCAATCTTTGATCCAGTAACTATGGCGTTCGAGGGCCTGAGACAAGAGCCATCCTCCACCAACATGAGAAAAGTTTACTGGATAATTAAAAATATAAATATTTGGGGTTGCCTCAAAGTGAGAAATGTCATCGTTTCTATTGTAATGTAAACGTTTCTGGGCTGTGTTGGGTTTACCTTTTATTTTTCTATGCGCAAATAATGATTACTTTAAAACGCTCGATCCGCTATCAGACAAAAAAGATCGCAAGATTCCCGTGAAAACGAAAAGCCTCTGCCATTCAGAACCTTGGCAAAGTCTAACTCCCTCCCTTTCTGGTTGGGTTGGGGTGGAGGGACGAGCCCCTGGCACCTGCACTGCCCCCTACCTTCCCATCTTATGGTGGGGGCAGTTGTCCCTCTGAGCCCGAACCCCTCCAGTCATTTAACTCCATCCCCTCCCTTGAGTTCCTCATCTCCGCCCCCGCCCCCGCGCCCCCAATTTTTAATCCTGGGTTTGGGAGGAGGGAGGGGACAAAACGGGAGCCAGATGTGTACGAGTCCCCCGCTCCCGCCTCCTCCCTCCTCTCGGGCTTCCTAAAACCTGGAGCCCCGACCAAGGAGGATTGGGAGCCAGACAGTCGCGGCGCAAACTCCGCTCCGCAGCTCCCCAGGGAGTGGAAGCCAGGAGGGAGGGGGAAAGGAAGCCGGGCGTGCTCAGTAGGCAGGACAAAGTTTTTTTTTTTCTTCTCCTTTTTTTTTTTCGGTCGCAAGTAGGAAGCTTTTTGCACTCCACCACCTCTGGCCGCTGGGAAGACGTCATCGCTTCCGCCCTACTTCCTCCTCCTGTTGGCGGCGGTGAGAATCCAATATGGAGTAAATCGGTAGAGTCGAGAGATGGGGCTCGGACGGGGCGCCCTGCACCGCCTCCCATGCGCACCTCCCCCGGCTGCCGACCGCTCCCCGGAACCGTGATTGGCCCGGCCCCCGGGGGCGACCCCGGACCGAGCCCCCACCCCCGGCCGGCCCGCTCCTCCTCCTCTCAGCAGTCCCTGCCGCTCCGAGGCGCGCTTGTTTTTCTTCTGCTCTCCCCCACCGCCGTCCCCTGCCCAAATCTCGCCCCCTCCCGAGCCCCCGGAGCCCCCGCCCGTCTCGCCCCTCGGCGCTGCGGCGCTCACTGCCCCAGCAGCTTGCCTTTGCACCCCTTCCCCAAAACCTCACCCGCGCCCCCGGCGCTCCGCTTCCCCTTCTGCCTGCGGCGCCCCCTTCATCTCTAGCCGCCCCCCCTCCCCAAATCAGGAGATCTCCGGAGATGTGAAGAAGGGGGGTGAGCGGACAGGAAGATGAAGGGAGCAAAGCTGCCCGCCGCGGGACAGGCGTCTAGGTGAACAAGAAAATGACCGAAGAAACACACCCGGACGAGTAAGTTTGGCCGCGGGGTGGGACGAGGGTGCCCCGAGGGGACAGCGTGGGGACCAGGGCTGAGGATGCGGGCAGGGACACCGGTTGGGTGAACTTGGCGTGCGTTGCAGCGACTCGCTGACCTGTCGGGGTTGGGACGTGAGACTTCCCTCCTGATTGAAGTGAGGAGGGGGCAAAAACTGCCTCGGGCCAGCGGGGGCACGCCTAGGGTCCGCTGGCTGGTGGCCGCTGCAGGGGCCAAGGGCGCGCGGGTGACCTCGGCGCGGTCCCCGCTCCCTCTCCGAGGACTCAGCCCCCACTCCCCGAAATCCTTGGTGGTCGGAGCGGAAGATCTGACACCCCCACTCCGGCCCCCCAGGGCCCGTGGGTTTTTACATGGTGACTTTGTGACTCCCGCCGCGCCTCTCGCCGGGTAGTCCAGTTCCGAGCCCACTGGGGCCTAGGCTCCGCCATTTCGTTTTCTTGAATCGCTCTCATTTGCATACCACATTTTCATTCATAAAAAACGCGGCGGAACGAGGGGAGGACAGACGCGGGCGGCGCGGGGGTCTGGTGCGCCTGGGTCCCCGCGCGGGCCGGCGTGCTGGAACCGCCCGAGGGGTCCCGCGGCGCGTGTGAGTGTGTGTGCACGCGCTTGTGGCCGGCACACGCGCCCCGCAGGGTCGGGGCTGCTCGGGGGAGGTCGGAGCGTGTGCGGCGGGGGCGGGCGGGAGCGTGCGGGGCAGCGCGCTGCCGGGGAGCGTGTGGGGTGTGTGTGTTTGTATGTGTGTGCGCTCGCGTGTGCGCGTGCACGGGCGTGTGCCCGGCCCGCGGGCCCGAGGGGAACAATGCTCCGGGCGCTCCGCCGGAGGGCTCCGGGCCTCCCCGCCGCCCAGCGCGGGACCCGTGCCTGTCGCCAGTCTTGGGCCAAGGTGCAGCGGCTTCCCGCCTCGCGGTCTTAGGGTCCGGTTTGGCATTTTCCCTCCCCCGCCCAAGGCGTTTCCAGTCTCGGGTGCGACGGGGGCGGGGCCGCCGGGCCCGGCTCCTCAGGTCTTCTGCCTGGGGTTCGAGCGGTCACCGCACGGCGGCCACCGCTGCTCAGTGGCTGTGCCCGCCACCAGCCACTTTTTTTTTTTGTGAATAAGACGCTCTCCTTTATTGTCACATGACATCTCTCCCCTCCTCCCCTGCACATTCATAAATCCGGAGCCTGCCTCGGCTCCTTTCATTCAGGGCTGCCATTAGCCAAGGTAGCGGCGGCGCCGGCTTGGGCTCAAGAGCCAGTCGGCAGCGGGGCGGATGCGCCCGGGAGGGAGGCCCCGCGCGTGTCTGTGTGGGGGAGTGGGGGCTGCGGGCAGTGAGCTCCGGAGGCTCCAGGTCTTTTGCCCCCCGCGAGCGTTGAGACTCTAGAGTGCAGGGAGGGGAAGTGACTCAGGGCTAGGCGACGGGGAGGCTTGTCTCTTGCAGCAGGTGACAGAATGCTGTGCTCTACTCTAAGAAATCTACTCACTTCTTTTTAAATGCCCCCTTTATCCCTTGGCGTCTGCTGTTGCCAGGCCGGGCGGGAGAGGGGGGCTGGTGTTTGGAAAAGGGAATTTCCTTCCTGTGGGTCCCCAGGGAACTGACTGCAGTAACCCCTGATCTGCCAGGCATCGGGCGCAGGAGAGGATCCTGCCTGGTGTGCTTGTCACTGCCGTCCCACCGCATCTGCTTTGCTTTGTCTTCATATACGGTATCTTGAAATGGTAAAATGAAAAAAAAAGTTGCACTTTTAGAGCTGAAATATGGAGAAGGAACATGGTGCTGGGCCTTGCTGCCTTTTGAACTTGACCAATAAACTAGTATTTTTATTGTCCCTCGTTTGTACCTGCACACATGAGCAGCAGTGATGGCAGTGAGGGATGGTTGCTGTACTCAGGCCTTGCAATTCTTGGAGGGGTTTGACCACTCCACCTCGGGTTCTTAGGCTCCACCCCTTGGGAGTACAGGCCTGGCCTGGCCCTTTTGAGGGTAGCTTGTCAGCCTTGCATCCTTCTCCATCTGCTATCCAAAGCAAAAGGATTTCGGGTGGGATCACGAGGGAGAAATAAGTATCTCCATTACAGGCTCTCAGAACCGCTGCTTCCTCTGCTGTTACAAGGTCATGGAGGATGGATATTTGAGGACAGGTTCTGGTTTCAGTTAGAGAATCATAAAGCTTTGGCACCTTAGCTACTGCAGAAACGGGCTTCTGGGGGTTACTTTTAATGTGATGACCTTGGCATAGACATGAAATGCCTGAGAAGAAAGAGGCCGCATGGGCTGTAAACTGCCATTGAAGACCCTTCTCATTTGTATTGTTCAGTGTTCTTATGTAATGACCCATCTGAAAAATTCCTTTCAAATTTAGCGACAAGAAGGTTTCTCTCTGAGTTACAGAGCTTGCTGTGACTGCTTTTTTGTTTTGTGTGTGTGTGTGTGTGTGTGTTTGTGTGTGGTGGTTGTTTGCTGCCACTCTCTGTAAGCCTAGAGCTAAAATTATTGTTTGTTTAATGTAGCCATATTAGCTTATTTTTTAAAGCTAGATTTATTTACCCCTCTGTATGAATTTTGATCTTCTATTTTCTCTTTTAATGGCTTTATGTTTGAGGTCTCTTAGATACCTTTTGGAACTAGGCAGGGCATGTTACTTATAAAGAGAATTGGTGACATCAAACTGGAGACCTAGAGGAGATTTATACTTTAGGTAATACAGATTTTCTTGATAGTCCACATATAGTTCGGGTTTTTATTAAATGCTACACATAATTAAATATCTGTTACATTTAGCATGAGAATGCAGTAAATCAGAATGTTGCAACTGGTAAAATTGTGTTTAATTAAAAAAATGTTTTGTTTTCTAATGTTCCACATCAATTTAAGACCCCTCTAATGAACATATGGTAATTCAGGAAAGCTTGTCTGTTCTTGTTGATGATGGTCCTAAAAGATAGCTTCTATACAGAAAATACACTGACCATTCATGTTAAGATTTACAATTCTACTGACTTTTTTTAAATAACTTAAAAAGTAGAGAGCATCAACAAACTGTTAGAAGTGGTCTTTTGCACATAGCAGTGGAAAAAAATGTTAAAACCCGTAAGTATTTTGTCTGTATCTTTAAAGCATTTGATCATGGCTATGAATGGTTTGGAAATTTGCAAACCCTTCAGCAGCAAGTTCTAACTCAGAAGACATCAGGCTGCCATTCATTCAGCTTTCTGTTTTGTTCTCATGAACTCTTCTCTGTAACCCACTTCTTACAGGGAATGGATTTGCAGCTTTGCCCTCAGTAGTATTTTCCCGACTGTTGAAAGGTTTCCCATTAATAAAAAAGGCTTAAATATTTTTGGTGAATCATTTCAAAGACATTACAAACATTGGAACTCTTACACCTAAATACTTGAGCTTACTTCTTGAAAGAGAAAAATACTGTTCTGCAAAACCACAATACCATTATCACACTTTGCAAAATTAATAATTCCCTGACGTCTTTAACACTCTAAAAAATGTTTATGTAGAACTGATTATTCAGTCAGGGACGAATCAAAGACCCCAAGTTAAATGCATTTGTAACATATGTTTAAGGCTCAAGGCTTAGCCACTTGCTTACTTTATGATCTAAGTTACTTACATATCTCACTTTGGTTTTATATGGAGTAAATAAAATGAGAATAAATACTCCCTATTTTGTTGAGCTACTGTGAGCATTAAATAAGGTAACCTATGTAAAGCTTATGGTATAGCACTAGGCATAAAATAGGTGCCCTGTGTGGTTCTTTGCAGAGCACTGAGATAGGTTTCTTACAGGCTTAGCTTGTTAATTTTCAAATAACCCTGTGAAGGAGGTGTTACCACATTTAACTGATGAGGAAGCTTAGGTAAAGTTAAGTGCCCAAGATAGCAAACATACTCATTTAGTCTCCTCAACAATCCTGTGAGGTAGATGGCATTATTATCCCCATTTATAAATGAGGTAACTGTGGCAAAGAGAAGTTAAGTCGTTTGCTCAAGGTCATGCCATTAGTAACTGAAGGAGCACCCCAGCAGGCTGGTTCAGGAAGGGCTCTGTGCTTTTGACTAACCGCTGTGAAGGGAGACGGCATCCAGCCTCGGTCATTCTGACTTCAGAGCTCACATTGTTTCTGCCAGTCATGCTGTTCTTAATTCTTCTGAATTGGTGACAATCTGTCGTTGCCATAATTTTTCTGATTTATCTTCCCAGAAAATGCTGTGAGGCATGTGGGCATACCGAATTAAAATGAACTTAAATAAATTTTGGCTTGAGAATTCTATGATACACCTTAAGATAATGGAAGGGGAGTGCAAATTCAGAGTTGGTTATTACTGTATGTTAGATCTACATTAATTGAAATAACAGTTGTGGAAATTAAACTGATGCAGGTATTGATGCATTTTCTTTGCATTAGCCTTAAAAAGGGAGTGTGTTTCTACGCTACATGAGTAAAATCCTGAAATGTTAAAAGCATGGAATTGACTGTGCGGAATTGGAATCTTGATTTATTCATTAAATAATCTTGAAAGCAAAACAAAACAGAAGAACTTGGAGCTTGTAAGCCAGGACCTGTCAGAGTATAAAGTTAAGTGCCTGCTGCAAGGCTGCACAGCTAGTGGGATGGTTGACTTGACTCACCTCCATCTGCTGGTGGTGGTCTGGGTTTGTTTACATGGGAATATTAGCAAATGGCTACCTCCTTTCTGACTATAGCTGGTCCCTTTGCTTTCCTGTTCTTTTTACGCATAAAATACACAAAAAGGGAATCAGTAGGAATATCAAACACAACAATCTGTTTGCTCTTGCTGTTTATTATGGAATTTTTTTCTTTCTTCCTTCTCTTCCCCAACAGGTGAAATTCTGCTCATTCCCCCAGCCAGTTCTGAGCTTCCTTTTGGGAGGTTCTCCTTGACTTTTTCCACCACACCCCACTCTCCAAGTCAAAACAGATGACTCTTTATAGTATTTCTATAAAGTACACGGCAGT